TCAACATATTTTAACAAATTAATTGGCCATATTGAAAGTAAATTAAGATTGAAGTGAAAAGTTCATCACAACTTCTTTAACATTCTCATGGCACAACCAATTCAAATCACTATTTCACAAAATCTCAAGATAAGGAGAAAGACAGAGAAAACTACTCAAAACTCATGAAGAAGATACGACTAAACTTGAAATTTATATAAAATCAAAGTCATACAAACTTCAATAAGTACATACCACTTATCTCTAATTCCTCCCCAAGCAAACTCCTCGAAGTTCCTCTAAATCTCTTCCTTTCTTTACAGCACACAGAATTCTCCTTCGAAGCGGCAAGGAGGAAGAAATCTCTCACTTTCCTTCCACTCTTACAATCTCTCCAAGAATTCCTCACAATACTAACTCTAAAGTACACTCTCTACACTCTAATGGACACACATGGACACCCCCCTCTTGGCCTCCAAATTGTTTCTTTTAAAGTTGTAGAAGAGTTTTCAAGAGTTGCCCAAGCGTCCCTTAAAAAATCGTCCACATTCAATGCATATGTTGAGAGAACCAACGTGCTCGCCATAGGCGGCCTCGATGGTGTTGTTGGTGGCCTTCTAGAATATTTAATTCTGGACTCTTGGGAAAAACTCGTCGACGGCGCCGTCGAGCTCGCCATCGGCTCTCAAGATTAAATCTTCATATTTTGGTCATTTTTTCTCCAAATTCGCTCCTTTTTGCGTCTTTTTGCTCCAATGACCATAATTCAATATAACTGCAATAAAACATAAAAAATACCTTTATTTAAAGTGCAATATCATCAAAATCAGTGTAAAATAGGTATGAAAATCTCAACATATTTTCCTTCGGTTAGTAACCTAAGAGGCAAGCGCCTAAGTGCCACTTATTCGCGCTTGAGCGTTTTTGCGTCTTTTTGCTCCAATGACCATAATTCAATATAACTGCAATAAAACATAAAAAATACCTTTATTTAAAGTGCAATATCATCAAAATCAGTGTAAAATAGGTATGAAAATCTCAACATATTTTCCTTCGGTTAGTAACCAAAGAGGCAAGCGCCTAAGTGCCACTTATTCGCGCTTGAGCGTCGGTTCACGAAAACCGGTTAGTGAACGGTAAAAAGTGAAAAATTAACCCAAAAATTACAATTTTTCACCCTCCCGTCACCTTCAACCTCTCAAAATTGTAATTTTGGAGAGCTAGGGCACACTATCAAGTGAAGATTTCTTGGTAGAATTAATAAAAATTTGCTAGATTCAGATTTCTTAAGGTAAGAGCTTTACTTCTATGTAAAAATTTTGAATTTTCACCATGTATTTTGAGGACATTTTGAAGAATTCAAAAATTCACTATTCATGATGAAAAATGAGGAAAAATCTATGGAATTTGCAAAGGAAGTGTAGTTTATGATTTAAGAAGTTTAGTTTAGTAGTTTAAACTTGATTTTTGAAGTCATTTTTGGAATTTTATAAAATTTTAGAATGGCACCAAGAATGAAGAGGAGTAAAGGAAAGAGCCATTTTGATTGGAGCAAATTTGTGAGTTCGAAAGCTCAAGATAGGTACAGTGATGCACTACAATCATGAAAGCTTATCCAGGAGCGTTGTTTTAAGAATCCAGGTGGATCTGTGGAAGATCTGATTGCTCGCCGATAGTGGGAATGATTCTGTTATTTTTTTGTTGTTGCAGTTATATCTATTGTTAGGGAGTTCTATGCAAACCTCCCTAAAGCTGAAGATGATAGAGTCATGGTTCGAGGAAAGTTGGTACCTTTTCCACAGGAGGTAATCAATTTTTTCTACAATTTGCCACCAGATACTTTATGTTTTTTATGCAAATTATAGTCCGACTGAGACGGAGCTAGATGAGATTATTTTTTATTTGACTATTGGAAGAGGACTTTGGGAAATCACTAATGAGAGGAGAGTCAATTTTTTCACGTCAAAGTTAAGTGCACCTTTGAAGGCATGACACTATTTTATTTTGCTCGTCTGCTACCAACAAATCATCTCAGTGAAGTTACCACAGAGAGAGCGACATTAAATTATTGTATCCAACAAGGAAAGCTCATCAACATTTGAGCTTTGATATATCAGACTATCATCAGCTTTGCCACTACCGCTACTATTGTAGGACTGAGATTTACTTTCTTGAACTTTTCTTTATGTGAGTAGGCTGGAGTGAGACATGATAGTTAGGAGGAAATATAGTTTCCTCTAAA